TTGCTTTTGGATGCGTTTCCACGCTTGAAAATGTTGCATTTTGGATGGGTCCTAACGCGTCTTCAAATGCAAACGAGTTATAGTACGTTTAGATACTGAACGAGTGTAGACGCGTTAGGTTACCCTGGATGCGTCTGCACCCCCGAAAATGTTGCATTCTAGATGCGTCCTAATGCGTGAAGTGCCATCGCTCACGAACGCTCAGAGACGCGTTACGACTCGAAAAAAAAGTTACATGGGTATTCGATAAAGCCATATTTGGTTTGTACAAAAGTATACTAAAATCTGTTAAAACACATGTAAGTATTAACTGAAAAATTCGTTTAATACATGTCAACTCATATAGACCTTAGCACGATAGTCAGAAAGAATAAAAAATCGACTTCACTGAAAAAAAAGCGAAAGATCATTTTATAAAACACATTTTGTTAGTTAGTATTGAGACATGTCGTTGTGAGAAAAGTGAAACCTTCTGCTTGTTTCATATAATCACATATGACTTGAGATGCTGCTTGTTTACTTTTATCACAACCTATGATCGATATATCAAATATGATTTTCATAGAGTAAAATAATTTCATCGTTTCAATTGCGCAGTGACTANTTGAGACATGTCGTTGTGAGAAAAGTGAAACTTTCTTCTTGTTTCATATAATCACATATGGTTTGAGATGCTGCTTGTTCACTTTTATCACAACCTAACCTATGATCGATATATCAAATATGATTTTCATAGAGTAAAATAATTTCATCGTTTCAATTGCGCAGAGACTAATATTATTTATTCTTATGATTCACAATAGTGATTTGGAAGGATCTTCGGATAAATATGATTGTTTAATTATTGATGATCAAAATAGTGGAACAGCAATTAAGGAATTTTTTCGGCGAACAATCGAACATTTAATGCATCGAAATCTAATGCAACATCATCAACAACAACTCGACAAATATCTGTTCTTGATATTATCGTTGGTAAATCACGAGCATTAACATCTCTTTAAAATCGTGGTACTAATCTAAAATCAAGTGGTGTAACTAATATTGGTACGATTGCAATGGATGCACCATTACGACCACAAGAAGTGCATGATCTTGTGAATCAGATTTAGATGTTGTTGGATTTATACTAATTGGATTTATCGTGGGAACATTATCAGTAAAAGTCGATAGAGTTTCTTTTAATGAAAGTGATGTTGAACCGATTTTAACAATTAATGAACCATCGTATCTAAATAGAAATATGCACATTATGGTACAACTATATAGTTTCAAGACCTATAGATGTGTTTCGTCTTACTTTTTCGTATTGTGAGGACGTTTTGTGGATGGTAAAGCTCGAAGTCGTTGAGATAAACTAATACTTCCTTGAAAATTTCCCATGCGACCATCAACTTTTAAACCACTTAATGAAGCTGCATAATATATTTCATCAATAATTAACCAACCAAATGATGAAGGTAGAAGTGTTTCACTTGGTATACTTGTTCTTATATTACGAGTTTGATTTTGTATATGTTTAAAGGATGTGTTTGTATCTTGCTGTGGTAAATTATCATTGGGCGGCTGTGAACCACTTCGTTGTTGTTTTCTTGATAGTGGTGGTTGCACTTGTTTAGCTGCAGGTACTGTTCCATAAATGGTTACAAGTTTACGTAATTTTTTTCCAACATTGTCGTTCAGGATTATTTAAATCTTCATCGTCATGATGCGAATCAATAGGACGAACCATTGGTTCCAGATTTTTGATAACAAGATTTTGAATACCACTATCGGGGTAGTCAACTGTTGAATTTGTTCGTAAATGATTATTCATTAAATCATTTTGTTGCTGAATTGCATTTGCATCTGGTTTTGTTATTTCATCAATACCTGTATATTCAAGTGCATTACCAACAACCGTATAAAATTGATAGACAAGACGAATAAATGATCGATTCATTTCTTGTTGGACATGTTGTACACGAATGCCAGCTTGTACATTAATTGTAAACCATATGTAGGTTCATTTGGTAAAATTCTAACATAAAATCGTTTAGTATGTGCTGATGCGAGAACTTTTTGACCTAATTTTTTCAAATAATGGTTCAATCGACGATGTCACAGATAATTCGACACCAGCATATTCAAGTAAGATTTTAAATAATTATTCAACGGAACCAGCAAATTCAGGTTCAGCATCAGTATAATATGTTGTTTCATTAAATGAATCATCGTGATTGTTATCATTGATTCGAACATTATTTTTATTGTATTCAAAATATGATTCATCATGGCCCGTACTTAAACGCTTATAACCATTTGTATTATTTACATTAGTTGTTGGTTCGAAACGGCATATAGCTTCACCTTTGAATAGGAAAACAAAAAAGAATTTATTATTTTTCGTTTGTTTGATTTTAATATTTTGTTTAAAAAAAAAAGAAAGCATAAATACATCATGCACATGCATCTATTTTTAATTATTGCTATATAGATATGCATGAATATTAGCGCATATCTATTGTCATGTTTCGTTAAACATGAATTCACCAGAGCCGTTGATTTATTTATAAGTGAGATCTTACCTTCTTGAAATGCTACATTTACATGGCCTGTAGGTGATGCTATAATAATTTAGATACACACACATTACACATTCACTAAGTTAGGATTACAAGAATCAAATAATAACAATAAAGACAAATACAGACAATAATCATAGATGCACTCTTCAAACAAAAATGCATTTGGCGTATGTGAAAATAAGTGATATTTCTTCATCAATGGAAAAGTATCAGCTAAAATTTCTCCGCTCGAATTTTAGATGTGCTGATTAAAAAAATGTTTCAATATGAATATTCTCAAAAACACATGACAACAAGCTGGGAATAAAAAAAAGAACACTTCTACATATTCAATCATACCATGTGATACTTTATCTCGGGTAGCTACTCATGTAAAAACAAAAAATAACATTCCGTTAAATTTTTGCAAAAGAGAAAAAGACACAAACCAATGCTCATTAAAAGCATGCATGTGTGTGACTATTAGTCACACTTATCGATGTTTCGAACGAACGGTAGTTTGTTGGTTTTAATATAGTACATGAAAAAACAACTTTACCTAGAAAACTTGATGCATATCGATGTTCTCGATTTGACGATGAATCAGTATAATCTTGATCGATTTCAATAATTATATCTTTATTGTTTATATTTGATCGAGGATTTTGTCCTGTTGCACGTCGTCGAACAGTTGAACCATTGATGACAAAATGTTCTATGCCATCTTGTTGTTTATTGGATGTTATTAATGGCTGTTTTGGATGAGCACTTACAAATTCATGTTCAATTAAACGTTGAACGCGATCAACCATCGTTGGTGCTCGTACAACAGCCGGTGGTTGTTCTTGATCATTGGTATTTGTTGGCAGTAAATTATTAATAGGCGATGTTGTCGTTGATGACGATGATGATTGAACCATAGGTTTACGTGGTTGCGATTTAATTGTTTGTGCCCCATCTCGACACGCTTCACGTATACCTTGTTTAAATATTTGTAATTCAGGTATGATATTTGGTGGTAAATTATTATTCATTTGAGTATTTCTATTAAAATGTTTTTCGCAATTCAGTAACAAGTTGATACACACGATGTGCAAGAAGATATTTTGTTTTCGGTGTAAATAATTCATATAATTTACTTTGTGGTAATGTTGATGATGCCGTTGTTTCAATATGAAAATAAGCTAGAATAGCATCAACTCGTTTTTCATGTTTACGAAGAAAATTCTCTATGGGTTCTTGTATACGATTAATAACACAAAAACAACCACGAACAGTCGGAGTTGTATGTGAAGGAGATAAAATTATGTTCACATTCAATTGAAGAAGTTCCGGTGTGGCTGTTACCTAGCAATGCATGAAACAAAACAGGTTAGAATTGATCTGTTATTCGTCGAGTAGGTGTACTCTGATAGTTTTTATTGAGCATATTATGACAATAAACAAGACAAACCAGCATAGATTCGCTTGTTTTTTTCAATCGATTTAGTCTAGTCAATGAGCAAGTGTTGAATCTCTACGCATAGCAAGACATGATAACATGCAATAATTACACATGTAACATAATAAATATTGAACGAATATATTGATGACATGTGAAATAGAGATCTACAGTTTTACTCTAGGGTAGAATTAGAATATCGAGATTCATATCCTTCTGGGAATCGACATATTTCGAATCATTAGTTATTGGAAGCACTGAAATCTATATAATATTCCAATTGCATATTTAGCTTGCTTTTCTAATTATCTGTTTTGATGAATCGTTATGTTCGAATCGACTGCACTAGTCGACGATCTTGACTTCGATCTGTCCAGGTTCTTGTTTTTCTTGAATATCAGACAAGATTCTTTTGCCATTCCTTCTGTACAAGATTCTTG